AACATCTGACACAAGCATGCTTGTAGACAGCATTTTCTTTTAACAGCATCATACTGTGCATTCATTGGAATACATGGTGGCAGGGATGCTTCTTAGAGGAATTACCATGTTTATTCCATTAGGAAAAAAATATTTTCTGTGCCATTTATTTTGTAATTTAAGATCAGCATTCCACATTTGCAGAAGGCTGATAGAATTTTTAAAGTAATAAATCAAAGGAGTTCTCTTAATACCTACAGAATTAAATGTAGGGACATTTCCAGAACTATTCAATGAAACTCAATTTACATATTTTTTGGATGTGTAATCTATATGACCTTCAGTAACTGTTTGTTTTTTTAAATCTGAAAAATGCCTTTAAAGAGTAATAGCCCAGAGTTTCAAATAGTGCAGCAGGAGATGTAATGCATATTTTAACATATTTTTTTTAAATTTGTCACACAGACTTGTTGTGCATGATTATGTAAACGTCCGTGATTTTAAAGCCAGTAGTACAAGTGTGTGATGTACTTGGTTGGGCTAAAAAATTCAGAAGTCTAATTTATCTTGAGATATGCTCAGTCAAGAAGTTTTTCACAGCAGTTAGCTAACACTTCAAGCTCTAACAGTGCCCCTGAGCCATAAAAGAAATTTGCATGTAAGAAATGTTTTGAATCTATTAAAACCTCAGCTCAGAGCTAAAGAGTTTCTCTTATGTCTTTGTTGACTAACATGAAGTGAGATCTTACAAAAAGCTGGGCTGTGATCGACAGATGCCAAATCTCAGGTTTTGATGTGATTATATATTTCTTTCATGCACAGTAGTTTGCTCTGGGACTGGAGTTTCAGAAAGACGGCAATCAATGGGTCTGTGCAAGAGTACACAAAATATATTACTCCTGGCAGTCGTTAAGGCAGAATTATTCAAAAAAAAATCTGAAATGCATTTGATCATACACTAGAAGTTTTAATAATTTATATTATACCTTATTAGCAAAGTCTTGTGTTTACTTTGTGACTGCCAAAACAAGATGAAAGGCTGCCTCCGTGGAAATACAAGATGCTTAGCTCAAAGTCTCTGTCTGTGCATTTCAGTTTGGTAATTTCCCTTCCTTCCCTCAGTTTGATTAATAGTATATATAATTTTGAATCTTAGAGTATCTTTTCCTTCATTGTGGTCCTATTTAGTGAGAGCAATGCTTAACAAGTCTACCAAAGAGTTTGTGGCCTATCAGGACTGAAACTAGTACAAACACATATTATTGAAACTTCTTTACCTTCGGGCTTTCTCCCAGCACTTTTTGGTTGAAAGAGACTTTGAATTTTGTTCTAAATTCCACTGAAATGAATCATTATGGTAATCTTTCTAACTCTTGCAGCTACAAAAGTGTGATATCTGAACTCAGCTTAAGGAACTGTTGCACTCTGACTAGTGATTTTATGTGGTAAATATCACAGCTATATCAGGTCAGAATATTGCAGAAATTACCTAAAGATTTCCTTGGAAAGATAATGCACTGTGAATATTGTATCTAGAGACAGAGATACGAAAAAGGACTGTTCAGAATTAATCCTTCTATTAAGTGAGAGCATAGTGAGTGGACAATGTAAATGCTAGTTCAAAAAATTAGTTTTTTACCTCCACCGAGGTTTTTTACACCAAAAGTGCATAGAGTCATACATACAGTGTTTTTCACTAACACAGCTGTTTATGGGATACTTGTGTGCCAGGAAGAACTGCTTATATTCTTGGCAGGCCAGGCTGTGGCAAGGGCCACTCAGCCCTTACTCAGGAGGGAGAGGGTGCAGGGACACAGTGCCTTTAGCAGGGCTCCTCTTCCTCCTGGGGAATTTGTGCACAACAGACTCTGAGCAAGAGGCATCCACCTGCAGGTGTCTCTGAGCGATTATCCTGGGTTTAAAAGCTCTCTATGAATCTCAGGATGGGGACAAAAAGACTGTTATTTTCTACAGGAGCCTTTCAGTCTCAGGGAGCCAGATGTATCTTTTTTTTTTTTTCACAGATGCACATTCTGTGATGATAATGAGGGAAAATTTCATGGAAGCCTGTGGTATTACTCATGTATCAGGCAGAATTTTGGGCCAAACTAGAGAAGAGTGCTTAGAAAACATAAATCAGATGAATACACTCTTTACTTTCCTTGGAAGGGAATATTTGGCAGGATCAGCTGAAGAGGTACATTATCAAACAGAAACACAGCATGTTTAAGTGGTAAGCTGTGATGTCTTTAAGAAAAGGGTCACTTCAGTTTGCAATTTCAGGTATTTTTGTCTTTCTACCAAAAAAAAATCCAAAACACCTAAACCAAAAAAAAAAACACCCAAGAAATGGGTTTACTGTATCAGCATGATCATCTCATTTATTGGAATATGATGAAGTAAGGAAAAAACAGATTTCACAGCTGTACAGGCTGACTTAGATGAGATGCTACTTGGACAACTCACCAGCAGTGTTCACCACCACTGGAACTTTGTAAACCTTGCCAAAATCTCTTGTGCCATTCTGTCCTATCAGCAGTATGCAGCACTGCCTAATGCATATGCAGTGCATGTTGCAGTAGAGCTGTAAGAACACAGTATGGTAACAAAAAAAAAGGCAGTATAGGCATGATCAAAATTATAGCAGGAAGATGAGACTCTTTGGTTTTATGTTGGAAAACAGAAAAACTGTATAACATAAATGAAATGCCAGTGAAACCACTACTGTAAACTATGTTACAGAAACATGATTGAATGCATGAAACACTGATGTGCTTAACTGTTAGTGAAGGAGAAAATTTAAAAGAAGACTCTCAAAACATTTTGCAACTTACAATTTATGTTTGGGGCATTTTGCTGGCTGTCCCTAATCTTCCTGAGACATATAGATAGTGAGGAGAAGGTCCAACATTATTTATGAGGTACTGGCCCTTTTATCTGTTTGCCAAGGGATAGCATCTAGTCTTGTATGAGTGAATAACTATGATTTTATCATGCAGTGTAGAAATATTTAATTAGGAGTCAATAGGCCGATTGTAGTCAGCCAAATTTTAAGTCATGATTCAGTGAAAAACAAATATCAGAAGAAATAAAACTTAAGTTGTACTGATATTTTTACAGCCTTATCCTTTCCTTTAAATCACTTTAGCCTTAGTGTTAATGTACCAACAATACATGTAAAAACAGGTCATTTCCATAAATTAAGCACCTTACATTAGAGATTTGTGAGACCTGCAAAGAAATGAAATGCTTTATAAATGTCTAGAAAGAATAAATTGAAAACGAATTTCAACTCATTTGTAAAAAATCCTTAATACTGTACATTTTCCAGTTTAATCAGCTTTGATTTGGGAGGACAAAATAGCTGTGCCAAGTGCTAAAATTTCAAACACCTTAGAAATTGATTGTAATTAATAACTTAACAATAATTTTTGATTAAGTAAACATGCTCTGCCCAATATAGATTCAAGTTCTGAAGTGGTGCCATTCCTGTGCCTCACTCTGTGGAGAATTCCACCCCAGTGTGCTTACCTGTTTCCTTTCCTCTGTTTACCCAGTTGACGTTCTTCTAGGTGCTTATGTGTGAGAAGTCACCCTCATTTCATAGTTCACTTGATCAGTAACCCTTTGCCTGTGTGAATTGGGATCCAAGTCAGCAATAACTCAGTTGTTAGAACAGCACTTACTCCAGGCTGTCATTTGCCCCTTTGATGCTTACTTACCTAACCAGTAGTAATCATTATTTTCCTTCTACAATTACTATAATGGAGCTGATTGCTGAAATGGAAAACAGGAGGCAGTTACAGAAGGTTTGAATTTTTTTTTTTTGTGCTGTCACACTTTCATGGGCAGGCACCTTTCTTGGAGCTTTGATATTTCTTTGAGTTTGCCCAGAAATATGTTTGGTAAAAGACAGAGTGGGCATCTGGTCTGTATTTTTATGTGGCCCTGTTTCAGCTTCTTGGAAATACAAGATTATCCAGATAGGAACTTTCTGGGTCCCTGATTTATTTTATACAAAATGTGAAAGAGAAAAAAAAAATAAAATTGTTTAATCAACAGCCTTTTTTTAGCTGGAAAATTTCAAACCAATTAAAAATCCAGCTGAACTCAATTGAATTCCCAAGAGATTCTTCAAATAGAGGGAGGAAAACAGAAATGATCAACAGAAATATTATATCCTATGATGCAGCATTGTTACACCTTTGTTTAATTACACCTTTACCACTTACATCTCTTGCAAATGTCATCAGAGTTTCACTGGATGATGTTTTTCCTTTTGAGTATCTACAATACTGAACTGAATAAGGAGAAAAGAGAGAAAGGAGCCTTTTACTCTTTTCACTTGGATTTTCTGCTGAAATAGTGATGCAATATCTGTAACTTGTGCTGCAGTTAAAAGACATCATATTCTTGGGGACCTTGGTGCTTGCAGTCAGGTTGGGAATGGTAATGGCAGGCACAGCAGGGAGCTGGGATTCAATATGCTGAATGAGAAGGTGAGTGTTTTAGCACAGCTGCCTCCTGAGGGTCAGGGGAAAGGAAAAGCCCTTTGGGAGGATTTTCAAGCACCACTGAGCTAGCACACCGGGAGTCAATGATTGACTTTGGAAGATCCCTGCTGTGCAAAGGATTGAGTGTTGTGGTCCCCTTTATCACTGGTTAGACATTTCTTTTGGAGAAGCTAAAAATGAGAAAGTAGTGAGATAGCAGCAAAACAAATTAAAAAATAACCATCAAACAGCTGTCTGTGGTGGCAGTGAGGTCTGGAGATTTGTTTCTGTTACTAACAGCTGCATTGACTTGGCAGTTAATTTCATTAGAAATACTGATTTTGTATGGCATTTATAAGATTCCTGTACAAAACACTGATGACCTGGTGACGATGCAGTGCAGGTTGAATTGTTGGTCTTGAAAAGGACATTAATGTGAACCTCAGTACAAACAGGAGAGTGTATTTGGTATGTACAGTCAGAAGGACAGAGCACAGTTTCAATCCTAATGTGTGCATTTCTTCACAGGAGTTCCGACGTTCAGCGCAGAATGGCACAAAGTGGAAAGCACAGCCTAATGCTGAGATCCCAGTGAAAACACGGCTCAGCTCCTGGATGGCTTTGCAGCTGCCATGGCAACAAGAGGGAGGTGGACTGAAGATCCTGTCTGTCAGCCTGGCTCTACTGGCAGTTCTTGTTATGTTTTACTACGGAGGAATGAAAACAGAACTGTGAACTGAATGGGGCTTTTATCTAAACAATGAAACTGCTGTTCAAAATCTTCAAAGGAAACACTTTTACCAGCAAATCTTTTTTTTATTTTAGAAAAAAAAAAAAAGCTAATATAAATTGGGCAATAATTTGTACTCACTCTATGCCTTTCCTGTCATTCAAAGGAGAGAACATTAATAAGCTGTGGGAAGGCCTATCTTGCCAAAACCTGAGATCCTTGCTTGGTAGAACAGGTTGTTACATCTTCTCTTTTCTTTTTTTTCCTAAAATGATGCAACGTTTGCATCACATGCTCTTTCCATATTTGCTGTATCAGATAAAATTGCATTAGTTTTTTAAGGAATCTTTCCATTGATTGATATTGGTCATCTTGTATGGGTAGATTATTTAAAGCTTTCCTAAAGATTTTGCTTGATGCAGTGTGATTGTTTGATATCTGTCTTTTTACATTAGAATGAACACTGCCAGGCCATTAAAGTTTGTTATTTGTTGCTATTTATTTTGCTGTCATGTTTGAAAGAATTTTTTCCTGCTGTCTTGCATCTCTTAATTCACAATGAGTTGTTAGGCTTTTTTAATGCAAGAAGAATTATTTTTTTACATAGAAATATTCCTAAAGGTGTTGGGTTTTTTTATAATTGAATGGGAGGATGTTGTTCTGGTGATAGAGTTCTGTGAAAAGACGGATTTAATACAGTCTGTAGATTTTATACAATCTTTAGAGAACTACCTGGAAATCTCTTAGCTTTGTGCTGTCTCAGTAAAACAATTATTACTCTGTTAGTGGGGAGGCTGCATTTTACACAATGAAAATTTCTAACTACTTAATTCAAGCCATTTTGTCATGACAGGATCTCCACACATCCTGTGAGTGTGCTGGTGAGTCAGGGACTGGACTGTGTGCCCAGTTCTTCCTGCACCTGACCTCGTCATATTGTTGGTTTGTTCATGCCTTGTCACCTTTCTGAATCTTCATCCAAACTTCCACTTGCAGAGACTGTTTAAAATCATAACACAGGCACTGTTGAGGTTTTTTTTTTTGATGTTTGTGTCACATCCAGATGGAGCTGAGCTGTCTTACATGGCTGTTGTGGTTTAACCCCAACAGGCAGCTGAGACACTCACCCCCCTGCAGTGGGGTGGGGGCAAGAATCAGAAGGGTAAAAGTGATAAAACTTAGGGGTTGAGGTAAAGACACTTAGATGGGTGAAGCAAAAGCTGCACATGCAAGCAAGGCAAGCCAAGGAAATAAACCATTCATTACTTTGACAGGCAGGTGCTCAGCCATTCCCAGAAATGCAGAAGAGGCCTTGACTCTGTGTGAGCCCTCCACAGCAGCAGAAAATCCAAAACATAGCCCCATACCTTGCAGTGAAAAAAATTAACTCTGTCCCAGCCAAAACCAGTACATGGTCTCTACAGAGCAGAGGAATAATCCCCTAGTAAGAGTGCTTTGTACTTTATAAATTGGGGATTCATAATAGTTACAGACAATTAACCAGGAGGCTCCACCATGATGCTTTCAGCACAGCCTGTAAATTATAACAGCAGATGTTACTGTCTTCAGGAAATCAGGTGTGTGATCAATCAAATATAAAATTTTTGATAGCAGCCACTGAAGGTCATAAGCCAAGACTCAAAATCCACGCATTTTAAAGGAAAAAAGTAAACAAAAACATACCCTTAATTTTCTTCTGTTTGTTGGCATGCTTTATTTTTGTCAGGCTTTTCTGTACAAAAAGGAAAATATAACAATCAGTAATTAACGTTTTTAACAAATCTGAACAATTCTCAAAAAAAACCCCACCAGCAGGACTCTGGGAGTTGAAATTTTCAGGAAAGTACCACAGATTGCAAGATTCTCAGGAAAACTGTGGATTGGCAAAATCATTATATCCGAGCCAAATTTTCGCATGTGATGGGAATAATCTATGCAGATATGTTGTGTGCCTCTAGCATTATCTCTGTCAGCCACTCTAGCTTATCTAATCGTGGCAATTACAGACTCATTGCATCAGCTATTACAGAGATTTACCAAGCTTGTGATTTAGATTCTGTGCATCGTTGACTTTAATGGGACCAGCTTATTTTCTTAGAAATAGTGCAATATACTGAAAGAGGCGTAAGAAGACTTTGTAAATGACATTGCCTGCAGTATGTTCTTAAACTGAACTTTAATCTGATAAGTAGGAAGTGTTGTTTATCATGTATTTTGTTGCCTTCCTTTAGATTTTGAGAGAGGCTTTTGACACTTTGTGTTGTAGAGCATCATTGTGTTTGTCACTGCATTCTGGTTATGTACAAATAAAGCTTCCAAAGCCACTGAGCTGAGCAAAACAGTTCTGGTCGAACAGCTCACCAGGACCAAGCATGGACTGCCTGGGGCTGCTGGTGCAGCTTGGGAAACCTCAGGAGTGAGTGTACAAGTACATCCTCCTCGTGGAATGAGTTGACCTGAACATCTGATCTGTGATTTGTGGCTCCCTGAATGCCCTAAGTACCCTGCCAGGCGGCATTTTTAATTTTTACATCAACATTATGTTTGAGACCTGCTTCCAATATTCCCTCTTTGCAAGCCATCAGGGTGGGTGAGAAATCTGCTGCACTCCAGCTTAACAAGGTCATTGCAGGAAAAGTTACCTCATAGTCAATTGATCCCACTTTCACACATGCTGAACACACTCATCACTAGAGAATGTGTCTGCTAATAAGCAATCTACATTCAATGACCTTTTGTCAGAGCAAAAAAAAGAATATAATTTCCATTTGATACCAGGAAAGCCTCAACTATTTTCCTTAAGTGTTTGTGGTAGCTCTGAGTTCTCTTTGGCTGTTTGCAATGAGGAATCTTGCAAACCACAGAACCCTGAGTAGCAAAGACATCTCAAATCTGTTGTGAACAGCATTAAGCACACACATTTTATTTTCTACTTAAGCATTGTATGCTGAAGGACTTTGTCATTTAGTCTTTTCATTGTAGCTTTCTAGTAATAGCATACTTGTTTAGAAAAGGAGTATGACATAGAAGAAGTGTTTTATGTAAAGCTTGTTCTATAAAGCAAGAGAAAGAAGAAAAGGTGCTTTTTGAGGAGACTGACCTCTGTTACATCATTCCTTGCACATCTCTGAACATCTGACAGCTACTGTTAATCTAGTTTCACTTCCTGGTTCAACTTCCCATATGGAAAGCTGGAGTGATTTTTGAATAACAGCAAATAATATCAGAAGTGGCAGCAACTGGCAGCTCTGACACTGAGCTTGGCTGTGGCCATTACCCAGAATCCTCCTGCTCTTCTTGAGAAGCAATTACAATTTCACAGGTTGGAATTAAAATTCCCTGCAGTATGCAGGAGAGTAACTGAAACTGTCAAAGTGATTTCAAGCTGCTAATCTCTCCCTGCTCCAAGAGTGAAAATAGAGCCCCTCTTACCCAGGCACAGATTTGACAACTTAAAAACTCCAGCCCTCCACTTCACTTAAATACATATGGAGAGTGGCTTGATCTGCTCACGGAGGATATCTGTAAAGATGTTATGTCTATGAACATTTGTGTGTTATTAACAAGTCTATCTTTTTTAACTTTAAGACGTGTGTAACTTCAGGGACTAAGACGAATATAAAAGAAGTCTTATGCAAGAGCTCTGACAGTTTGGAGGAATGAGTAGGCATGTGCCTGTTTGTGAGAGGCTTATTAAAATCTTTATTTATGTCTTCTCAAACATGTAATTTTTTTGCTAGAAAAATTGCTTGCAACTTTCCTAGCTTTTATTTTCACAGTTTTATGTCCCACGTTATATTTTGTGTGTACTGTGGATGATTGTATAGATAGAAATAGAGAGCACTTAGAAACTAAAAGGCAGAGGAAAAAATTGAGAGGCTGTAAAACTAGGGTGCAAAATGAAAAATATTTGTGCAAAAGCTGCAAAGCAAATTTGGTCTAGGAGACATGGACCACAGAGTTAGGAATTGGCTGCAAAATACCATTGGACTTGTTCACAGGCAGGGTTCATCCACTAGATAATTAAAATCAGAGTCATTGCTGGAAAATGTTTGTGCAAATATCATTAGATGTCTTTTAGTTCCATATTTGATTTATGCATGCTCTTAACATTCAAGTGAATGCTTTTTTCCCTTAAATGAAAGTTTTTCAATTAATAGAAGGGAGATGAATTATGAATAATCTATTTTCATTTTAAAGAAGCCAAATACCATTAAAAAAAAAATCATGTCACTGCAACTACTGATATCCCAGAGTGCCCATTTGGGAAGTTGTGGTTATGGATTTGGATCATTAATGCTGTCCAGTCATGTCCCGTGAATGGAGAAAGAGTAATATTCAAGTATCCTTTCAGCAATATTTTGTTGGAAAATATTTAGCAATTATAGCCATTCTTCTTAAAAAGTGGTCTTAACATGATTTTTTAGAGGACAATCTGCCCTGCATGGTTTGCTTAATGCTGGTTGTAGGTAATGGGGTGACTTTCCATGTTGGTGACCAGAGTGTGATGCAGATTTGTGCCTACAACTTGCATGCTTTAAATGCCCCATCTGTCTTTGAGTGTGAAAACAGGATAGTTGTGCTTAATGAGCATAAAATATTATGTCTACTCTCTTCCTGGGTAGTGTTCGTGGGGAGTGGTGTACAAATGTTAGTTGCCAGTGGGTTACAGATTACAGGAGAAGCTGGGAGATGATAAAACACACCACAAAAGGGCCATGATTGCTTGGCACATAGTATTGAGTTGCGGGTCTGAGAGAAATTAATGTAATGCAATCATGACATGATGGGAAATTTGACTTCTCATGGTTAGGATATCGTTACAGTATAATCTGAAAAATAAAAAGCTAATGGTGCTAGGAAGGCTTTGCTGCACAGACACCCTTCCCAACTGCTCATCACTTGTGTTCCTGTGCTGTGTTGGAGGAGTCTGTTCCACCACACTGGTGCCACAGCCGGAGAAACACCACCCAGCTTACCTGGCCCCTGGCTGTGAGCTGGGCACACGCCCTTTCCTGGAGGAGGGCATCCCAACTCTGTCCCCTCTCACCCTGCCTGTCAGTGCATTGCCTTTCTTGCTGCTTGCTATGGCAGATGGGTAAACTGTGGCCAGCCAAGAGACTTGCTCAGTCCAGTGGCATGCAGTAAATAATGCTTACTCTTTAGTGGTTGAAAGCTTCAGCTTTTTTTTCAGGTTTTGAGCACCTCCATTCCACTGTGAGCCTGCATTCTCTCTTACCCTTTCTCCCAGCTGCCTCATTCTGTTTTGTAGAAGATGACATGTCTTCAGAAGGGTAAGTGTTGGTCTGAGTAAGGTAGCTTCTTCCCTGAAAACAAGAATGCTGCTTCTCCAGAGGAGCTCATTTGCCAGAGGTATCAGTGCTTGGAATCCATTGTGTTGCAGTGTCTGTTCTTCAGCTGTGTGGTGTCTGTCTGCCAGAGCCTTTGGGTTATGTCAGAAACTCCCATTTGCTAATAAGCAGGATTAAAAGGCCTCTTCT